ATGATAGAAATGGATAGCAAATTCCGTATGGAATAAAAGCTTCCAGAGTATATGTGTGGTTTTGCCCTCTTTTGCATGTTCTAGCATCTTTTTTACTGCGTTTTCAATAGTATAAATAGGCAAAGAAATCCAGCAGGGAGAATAGGACCACTTTATGATGGCCACAGCAGGTGTGCAAAACCAGAAACTCAAGTGCAGATATCACTTCAATAGAGTCCTCAAGAGATATAAGAAACTGTCGGACAATTTAACTCTCCAGCTTCCACCAATAACTGAAGTGTCAGCTTTGGGTGGACTGAAGCTCTAAAGCAATGCTTACAGAGTATTTTCACTTTCACTGTAAGCAATAGCCTCTAATTGTGTTAGTGATTTTCAGTGATCTAATAGCTGAGCACTTTGGTTATTGATAGATTAATCTATCAAGGGGACCTGATTTGGTGTAAAAATACTTAAAAACGATGCTGATACCTTGTTATGCCTACAGGTACCTGTGAATGCACTTAAATCCCCAGTCTGTATGCAATTTCTTTCCAAGTGGATATTAAGTAAAGACACTGGCATGTGAGAGTAGAATGGCAGGTGTGATTTACAGACACAATCTGAAGCAGTTGCCCATATTAACCATTCAGCTACTCTATTTCATTTTCTAAATGACCATTTTCTCAATGACTTGACCATTGTTTTTAATTCTAAGATGAATGTATATGCTTTTTGTTCATTCATTTGTATGTTGACCATGAATCAGTTGTATTATAAATGTATTTTACTATACATATGACTCATTTGATATTATGTTCAGTTATATCCCCTTGCATTTTTTAGAAGTCACCTTAAAAGCCCCATCTAATTTTAGCTGGTATACATTTTTTTACATATTTGAAAAGCATAGCTTGGCAGTTCTGTGATTTGTACTATATCCCACATGTTTGATGCCAACAAATGAAACTAAGCAAAGCAGCATGAGACTCACAACATAAAAAGGTAAATATTACCTCTTTGCTAAAGGATATACATAAATTCTGACATTTATATAACACACAACATGCAAAACTCCTCATTGTAGTCAAGAGCTTCTTAGTGCTTTAAGCAAGCTAGTTCCCAGAGGAAGAACACAATTTCACTGTCACTGTCAGATTAAATCACATCTAGACTGTCTTGCCTTTCAGTGTTTTAATAATGGCATATTTGTACAGAGTGTGCACTTCATTTGTAAGCTTTGTACAGATATATATAGACATATATTGTGAGGTATATGGATTTAACAAAAATGTGCACATTTAAAGTAAAGTGACACTAAACTCAGGAGTTAAATCTTAAAATATATTCAAGTACCTTAACTATTAACCAAAATGTACCTTATTTGTGTATCACTCAGCTATAGATGCTCAAATCATCTCTGAATTCATGCTGACACTGTCCTTCCTTCTGGAGGGTGGCTAATTTTGCTCCCCATGGTCCCTGTGTGTTGTAAAGTAGCCACTGCTCAAAGCTCACTCCCATGATGGACTACAATCTCACGTTTAGTTTACTAATTTGTATTGGGATTGTAATCCAGAATATCATCACAGGAGCGAGCTTGAAGCTACTTTACAACAACACAGGGACCATGGGGAAGATAAGTAGCCACCCTCCAGAAGGACAGACAGTGTCAACACCAATTCAGAAATGATTTGAGGATCTACAGCTGTGTAATACACAAATAAGATACATTTTTGTTGATAGTTAAGGTACTTGAATGCATTTGTAAGATTTAACTCCTGAGTTTAGTGTCACTTTAAAGGTTGGTGGGGATCAGATTTCAGTAGTCATTCATTGTTAAATACTGCTTTTATTTGCATACCTCCCAACTGACCCTCATTTTGAGGGACTGCACCTCATTTGGAATCAAATGCCTCTGCTCCTCTTTTTGGTCTGATGTATAGTTATTTCTGAAAGGGTTCTATTTAACTACCAATAGTTATTATGCAATACAACCTTGAACTTATGTCTTAATTATCTTGTTTGCTATTTCGAGAAGGCAACGTAAAGGAAAAGTAATGGTAAAAGAAAATATTCCAGGTTTAACTGATCATTTTTGGTCCACATAACTGGGGGCATGGCAGATGTGGTTCATTGTCTAAATATATTGTGCTGGAAGGTGTCCCTTTTTCTCAAGTTGGGAGATATGTATTCTTACCGAATATACCAACCACAAGCAGTCATATTTTCTAGGCGTTAATGAGGACAGTTAGTTGCTTTACATAAAGCTGGCCTGAAATTATTAGGGTAAAAAAAATCAACCAATCAGTCCAGTTGAACTTGCTCATTTATTCCCCAGTCGTACTGGAATTAGGTGCATACCTGGGCTTCCAAAGGGTGGTGGGTCCAGTGATGTTTGGTACCTCTACTGATACAATAAATGGAGCAGAAATGTACATGTATCATGCCTTTTTAGTGTTTGTATCAGATGCAGGGTTGTGACTATGTTTCATTGGACCTGTTTCATCTCTATCTCAAAGGCTATACTTCTAATGATACAGAATACTAATTGCTTTCATAGCAATTGGTCCCAAACTATTTATACATGTTTTTACCCAAATGTATTTTCAAAATGTTGTTGCCAAATGCGTAAGTTACTAAGTTTGCAGACTGTGCTGTGTCCCCTGTGGGTATGGGCTCCATAACATTTGCATGGCCTGCTGTTCCAATAGTTACACCCTTGATTAGATGATTTCCTAATTATTAAATAGAGAAATCATCTCATACAAAATGGGCTGAAACCAGACTGACTTTGTAGTTTGTTTATTATATTTATCAGGATCAGAGTTAGATAACTGCTTTCACTTGTAGGTTTTCCAATGTAAGCGCTGCCACGCATGCACATGTGCAGTACGTTTCTTTACCACTAAAGTGTATATTGGATCTAATTATACTAGTCATGTCATTTCACACTATGAAAGTGTTCAGAACAAGATAGCTACATTGAAAACAGTCAGATGAAGGTCACAAAAACTGAATTCACTTTTCTTTGCAATTTGTCATTGCGTTGTGGAGTTCTCTGCCCTATAAATTTGTTAAAGCTGGCTTCCAAATTGCACAAAATTCACAGGCTATGCATTTGGTTTGGGAACTTTGTACGCTTTGTTAACAAGATTCTTGATGAACATTTATACAGAGCCTTCTGCATCAACCAAGCATGGCCTCAGGTATACTGATCTTAATTGACTGATCGAAATGATGATTTCTGACAAATAGCAAGATAGCACATGCCCCAAATAAATTTTGCTGCCTGAGATTGTTACTACCAAAAACCCAGAATTTAACCTATGAAAAACTGACCAGGAAAAAGTAAGGTCCATAACAAGGAATATGTTTCAGCATTGATCTTCTGAACACTACTGGAAAAGTGGTACATAAAAATGAATTGGTTATAATGGGCATAGTACTATTTTTGTTTCGCTAGTTTTTATTACTGTTCTGACTGCTGGTACATAATGGATCAATATTGGTTTGTTTGTTTTATGGTCTGCTGAGAAACCCATCACTTGTGTAATCCAAATAATGCTTGGTTGTTTAATGTGAAATTGACAAGCATTAAAACAAAATGAGCAGCACTCATAGGACATGTTTGTTGGCATATATCTCTCAACAAGCTAGTTTACATGATTTAAAGCCTGTGATGGAGCAGATGGCAGACCATGGTGACTACCTGCTGCCGACAGGTGGTTAGCATAATACGGTTGCTTTTACTTGACTGTTGCACCCTGGAAGATGCACATTGCAGGTCTAGGATCTGCTGGCTATAACATCACACTGTACAGATAAATACATAATGCATTGTATCTTGTATTCTTCAGATTTCTGAAACACAGTTTTTATTGTATTCACATGCACAATTACATAAGCATATGTCTGAGGATTTGTAAACTTGTAAATCCTGAAAATAGAAATTATTGAGAAATTAGTGTGTCATTAAATAGTATTGTACAAAAGCATTTTATAGAGCTATTGGTCTCTAATACGAGAATTCTATGAGCCTACATTCCATATTCATGACAACATGAGGCAGAATAGCAAAATACAAATGGGTGTGGTACAGTGTTCAGTATAATTTGAGTTTTGCTGTATCATTATGTACTGTAGCATCTCACCTCATTTGACATTGCAATACAGTTCATTTGACTTGCTCCTGGATGGATCTGAGGCTACAGGATATGTGTGCATTTCTTCCTCTCGTGTTGTAATGTGTTGTTTGATGAGAAAAGCAGTGAAGCTGTGTTGATTTGAGTAGTTTTCTTTACAGTATATATATATCAGAACCTTATAGTCAAACTCCACTTTTCTGGAACTTGTGATATTATTAAGCAGCACTGCAATCAAATCAACACTGAAAGCAGTATTCACTATCTGTCTTGTTCATTTATGCTTCTGTTGCCTCTTATCTTGGGGTTATTTAGGGGAAATAATCACATTTACTTGCTGTGGGGTAATTGGGGACACTTAGGAACTAACTTACGAAACATGAATTGAGATGAAGTTCACTTCATGTGTTTACAGATTACTCTGGCAACAATAAAATTCTGTTGTCCACTTCTATCACTGCCCTTTTTTTAACTATGAAACTTCCCAAAAAGTGGAGCTACAGTGTAAGGATGAATGATATTATGAATAATTTGAACTTAATGACCATGTCTGCTTGCTATGCTTTGCCAGGGATTATTGGTATTGGTTATGTTATGTGACATGCTTCCAATAAACATAGATTATCTTCTGTATTATGCAGAATAAATGTGGATAAAACAGTAGTAGGCATCAGACTCATTAAAGGAATGGATATGCAGTATCTGTTGCACTGGCATTGTATGCGGGCTAATATATCATGTAAATTAGCCAATATACGAGATGAGAAATACAATTAGTTAAGGTTCTAAATTTCACAGTGGACATGTCAAAATAATGATCATTATAAATGTGATGATTACTTATAATTTTTAAAGCTTATGTTTTTTTTCCCATTCTAGACTGTCTATAAGTCCTGGCTGTGTTCCCAGTATTTTCAAGTTACACAATTCGAATGCAGTAGCAAAATTCCTTGCAAGCAATACTGTTTGGAGGTTCAAACGCGGTGTCCGTTTATATTACCAGACAACGATGATGTCGTGTATGGTGGACTATCAAGTTTCATTTGTACAGGTAAGATGCACTTGTGAATATACGAAGATATATTTTATAATCTTTAGTAGATTAAAGAAAACCTTTCCTGGAGGCTGCCATGGCAGACTAGGGAACCATGAGTTTGATCCAAACCCAGCCGATTTACAAGTTGATGAACAGGCAAACATAAATTGGCCAGATTTAGCCAATTTGCCCATCCACCCGAACATTCATTCATTTATCTGTTGTAGCACTAGTGCTACTAAATGACAGCTTCCTACTGGCTTGTTTCACATTGTTAACAAGCTGGTGGGGAACACAAGTGACATCACTTACCAAATATGGTAATGTCCCCCAGCTTTCCTGGCTAGTTTATTGACATTAAACAGCTTGTTGGGGAGTTGTCATTTCTGGTGGGAGTAGTGAGAGGACAGCATCTTTGGGGCAGGGTAATTGAGGCTGCATTACCATCAGGAGGACATTTGTTTTAGTAAATGTAGTCCCCATCAGCAAGGTGCCTTGCAAAGGGGGAGGCTTTGCACACCCCTGCCTTTTTGGGTAAGGTATCCTCCCAATGTTGAGGGCAGGTGGCCTGTTATGATTTAGGAAGGGAGGCACATGTTTCCTTGTCCCCCCTTATCAGCATGCCCTTATCCGGGTTTTACAAGCACAAAAAAGCTGGACAGGAACTGTGATTCAGCAGAAGTCATTTTTTTATGTCACTGTTGCAGGAGTACATTGTACTGATGCACAGAGCAGGTTTAAAGAAAAATTCTGGGTAAGTAAAAAACCTACGGGCCCACTGCAAGGGTTAGGTGCTTGTTTTTTCTAAGGGACTTAAATGTTTTATGTACCTGATCCCAGCTCCCATGGTGGTCTGTGCTCATCTCTCTCCCTCACTAGTCAGCCTATGAAATGTCCCTCAGTCTTCTCATGTCTAATGCAGTTCAGTGGACCTGCATAAGAAATGATGTCAGCATTCCTTAGACTGTCGGACCCCAGGGGAGAAGAGGCTGCAGGGAACTGTCTAGCAGCCTGGAGGAAGCCAGGATCAGGCAAGTAGATCTATTTTATCCCCTAGACCAAAACAAGAACTTAACCCTTGCAGTGTAGCCCCATTGCAATGTTAAGTTTGTAGTTACCCAGAGTTCTTCTTTAAGGAATCACCCACATATGTTATGTTAGTGTATATTTAATGTTGCCCTTTATGCTGCATTAAAAGACCAGCTCCCTGTTGCATGGTATTTTTCTATGTTTTAGGTTCATGGCTTTCCCGCTGGGTTTGGCAAACATCCAGTGATCCGAACTTTTCTCATTTCACTCATCAATATTGCTGACCTTTTATTCTGCAAAAGCTAGTTGCCTGGCAAGGCAACCTTATGCTTTGGCATAATACTATTCATTTGTTCCATGATGCTTTGAACAAAAGCTCACTGTATTCTGGATCTAGATGAGAAGTATTTTTCTTTATACTTTCTTAGACTGTGTAGAATTTGTTACACTGTTGTGCTACTGATAAACACGCTTGAGGTTCTCGGTCACTAACAGCAAGACTGGTAACCTTTATTATACTTGGTGGATTATACAAGTGGACAGTCCTGCGCTAATAAAAGTCACATGTACATTGGTTGGAACGGAAAGTACTGTACATTCATGGTCTCGATGATTCCCTGACTTACATCAGCGGTCGATGTAAATGCTTCTATTATATAAGTTATCCCCCTGTTAGATAGGTGGACAATTCATTTACAGCATTGATTCTCTCATCAATATCAACCCTGAGTTTTGCACGTGAAGTGCTTACTCATAGGATCATTCCTTATGAGTAAGGGATTTCACACGTGAAGCATGTCCAAGTTTTCATATTGAGAGTGACTGTTTGTGTCTCTTGTGTTGTTAACTAGGGATGAAATTCAGGTTCAGGATGATCTAAACCTAAGTCATTCATGGTTCAAGAAAATGGTGAACTATTGCGAATGTTTATGCCTATAACAGCCATTTACCAACAGTGTACTTCCTGGCCTCTGAACTATGGTCACATGGCTTAGAAGGGCCAGTCATGGGGTTTTTCTAATTTTCCAGCCCTCTCCCTATAAAAGTCAGAGTTTCCAGCAGCCTTTTGTCAGTGTGTGTTGGAGGAGACTTGGAGTAGTTAGGGACCAATCACAGAGTACTAGCTGATTGCTGAAGACATCCATATTTACATTGCGTCACAGACACACTAATGATGTGTTTGAGAGTTCGTGAGAAGATGGGCATACATCACAGAGTATCTGCAGAGAGTGCCTGGTGCTGCTGCTGCTGATTGCTGAAAATGTCTATATTTACAAAGGGATAGATCAGAGTATGGGCAGGGAGAGATATGTAGTCAGTGTGCATTGGGGACACTTGGAGTAGATGTGAATAGATCACACAGTTTTTTTCCATCCTATACAGTGCCACTGAAAGTCTGATATTTACAGTCAGTGTGTTGGAGTGACTTGGAATAGCTTGGGATAGATCACACAGTGTTTGCAGGGGGAGATTTTGTGATAAAAGCTGGCTGGTGTCATTCCTGTTCAAAAAGTGGTCTAGTGAAAGCTCTAAAATATTGTGCATGTAGTCACTAAAATATTGTGTGGATAGCAACTTTCAAGTAGATTATATGGGAGGGGTTGCAGTGCAAAGAACGTGGCCAAATAAAAGAAATGGCTTCTGTGCAAGGAGTAGAAAAAGAGTGCATTAGTAAGCCCAATCAGAATAACTACTATGCCCTTGAGCAGGAAGATGAAAATGGTGCATTGGCAGCACTTTACAAGAAAGCGACTGCGATTCACCCTTGATGAGGAGGAATGTGTTCCTTTTGCTGTCTCATTGAGGTGCTGCTCCCAACAAGCTACTTGCGGATTAGTCATGTGTTTCCTCTGCAAAGGCTACAGACCACAACACTAATGGTGGCATAAGATATGGTTAAAAAGGTACACATTGCAGAGTTCTTTTCACTTCCTGCCTAATCAAGTGCTTGTGTCATGTCCTGACACTGGACGATTTCTAACGAACACATAGCTGAATTCTGTATTTAGAATATGTTGGGAACAATTAGGGATTTAGGTATCGGAGAGTGGTTTGGAGACATGTGGGGTTACGGTTTAGGGTTTTTTCAACCATGTTTTGACATTTTAATAAACTTTTAAGATAATATACTGGATTTCTGTCAAAGAATAAGCTCACAAACTATACTATAAAACTATTTTGTCACTGCCCAATTCATATGAAGTTGAGGGGCTTAGCATGATTGTTTTTAGGAATATGTTCCTATAACATTTAGATCTGCTGTGGCTGTTACTTTCACTTTTCAATTCAGGCCTATAACTGCTGGATAAAAAAAATACAGATGTTGCATTACAAAATACCTTAAAAAAGCTATTATTTCAAGTTGTGATAATTTAGATTGGGGAGATGCTAATGCCATATTTAAGCTAAACACTAATGTAAAAGTAAAAATGTTATTCCAGATGCAATATACACATGCAAAATATGTCATAGAATACAGTGAGAATTGGGCTGCCTGTAAGAATCATACTGTTCCGTCATGTCACATTTTAAAGGCATCTCCCTAGCATGTGATGGAAAGGATTGTTTTTTCCCCCCATGTTTCCATTGAAGTTGCATAAAAAAGTTGCCCCTCTCACTGCTGAATGGTATTTTTTTAAATATAGTTTTTGTATTGGTACCATTGGTTTGCCATATCCACCATGTCAGTGCCCAGATCCTCATTCACTTTGTTTGACAATTCTTTGCTTATTAGCCCTAAACATGGCCACAATTGATTTTCAAAATTCACCCTTAATAGACAGTGGGGTTCAAAAAAATTTTTTGCAATTCTTTGACATTTTACAATGGGTTTGACGAATAGCCTGCAAACCATTGTTAAAAAAAAAACCTACAGTAAATCAGATTAGCAGTGTAGACCAATTTTTTTCTTGGACACCTAACCAAATATTACATGCTGTGATGGTATATTTGAGCCTGCTGGGGTCTACAGCATAATTCTCTGAAGCAGCCATTGAGTTTTTACAGTAAAAGTAATTTTGGCTTGGCTCCTGAAACACAGTCACACACACACACACAAACACATTTGCACATTTCAGGGTTTTGTTAACGTGGCATGGATTCTTCCAGGGTTTCATATTAAAGTGCAGTACAACATACAGGCTTGCATTTACATAAGAATGCCTCCACCCAGCTAAGTCTAATCCATGTTCACTAAACTCTAAACTAAACATTAACCACTTCAAGACCAGGTGTTTAGACCCCCTTCCTGGCCAGGCCATTTTTCAGTATTCAGCGCTGCGGTACTTTGACTGACATTTATTCCGTCATGCAACGCTGTACTGAAATGAATTTTATACCATTTTTTGGGGACAGATAGGGCTTTCTTTTGGTGGTATTTAAACCCCACTGGGGTTTTTATTTTATACTATAATTAGGAAAAATTACCGAACATTTTTTGAAAAAAACGTTTTTTTTTTACAGTATGTTAGGAAACATTTATTATTACCCAGTACCTAGTAGTTGTTTTCTGTAGACATATGAAAAACTTTAAAGCAAAATTGTAGGCAGATATTTAATTAATTTACTTCATTTATTTACTATATATCATTCATATTCATATCCTATTTATTTTCTCACTTTAAAAAAAAGAATAATTCTATTTTATATGTATATGGCGTAAGCAGTATTGCTTAAACTGTAGCACAGAAAAGGAAGGTCAGATCCTAGAACCTCTTTCTGACATGTATGGCTGGGTTAGAAAAGTCCCTGAACAAAATCACATATTTTTGGCAAGTAAAACAGGTCATACTTATTCAGCTGTGCATTTCACCATTTAAATTACTTCCATGTAAACCATTGTAATTATTCATACTTTAAAAAGTGATGATGTGGCTAAATCTGTATGTAGTGGAGAATGCCTCATGGTTTTGAGTGCTGTGGTTAGGCTCTAAACAGATATATGCTGCTGAATAAAAAATCTGTTCTGGTCGGCGTATATGAAAAAC